TCTCTCTCTCTCTCTCTCTCTCTCTCTCTCTCTCTCTCTCTCTCTCAAATTAAAAAGAAAGCAAGCCTGATCTCTTTAGCTCTTTGTTATATTCCTGTAATCTGAGTCACCTAGAAGAATTTCTACTTGCTTTGTGTCTAATCCCAAAACTCACTGAACTCTCCCACTGGGAACAATGGTGTTCACAGAGTTTCTCCATTCATCCCCCACCCCTGCTGGTTTCCCCTCTGTTTTCTTTCCTTTTTCTTGCAGTGTTGAAATCTAGCCAAACGTCCAATTACCTTGGAAAGTAAACTGTAGAGGAAAAAGAAGCACAAAGTCTTCGGTGTCGTTTTATGAAGACATGCAATCTTACTTTAGAGCGGGGAGAGGAGAGCTTTCTCACTGCAGGGCATGAGAACTGGGAAGAAGCCAAGTTCTCTGGACAAGCCCGTGTTTGTGAGCGCACAGGTGACAGCACTCTTGTTGCCATGCAGGGGAAGTTGTAGGTCAGGTGTGTGTGTGTGTGTGTGTGTGTGTGCGCGCGCGCGCACGCGCGCGCGCGTGCGTGTCTATAAATCCACGCCCCTTTGCCACGGGAAACATCCAGAATACATTTCTAACAAGATCGCCGGGCAGCTCAGGTAAGCAAGCAAAACTTCCAGACTACTCAGTATTCAATCTCTCAACCTCTGCTATGTTCAAATGATCACGTAATTGTTTTGCTATTTAAAAATGAGGCTCTTGGTTAAAAGTGGGAAACATGAAATGAAGCTATATTTTGCTGCTGCTACTGACCTGGTTTCCTATACTGGCTTCAGAGTTTTACTCTTAATTCATATTAATAATAGAATAAGCTAGAATTAACCTAAAATGACGTCTTTAAAAAAAAATCTCTGGGTGCTAACAATAGTGCCTCCTTGTTTTTTGTTTTGTTTTGTTTTGGTGTTTTAGTCTTATTTTGTTTTTAAAATAACTTGTTTTTTTAATTTATTTACTTTCATTTCATATTCATTGGTGCTTTGCCTGCATGTATGTCTCTGTGAGGGTGTCAGATGCCCCGGAACTAGAATTACAGACAGTTGTGAGCTGCCATGCTGGGAATTGAACTCAGGACCTCTGCAAGCAGCAGCCAGTGCTCTTAACCACTGAGCCATCTCTCCAAACCCCAAAAGTTTTATTTTGAATTATAGAAGTTTTCAATATTGAAGTAAATGGCTTATGTTAAACTACTTTTCAAAAGCACAAGCCTAGTGTCAGGAAATGCTAACTGGTCAGTGTTGATAAAGCCTGTTGGTAGACAGGACAGTTGGTGCTTCCCAAAGGCGTCAGATGCTGCTATAATGTAATAATCCTCTGAATTCCTCCAAATATCTGTCCCTTGCAGCTAGAACTTAAGGACTGTTAGTAAATCACACTCCAACCAGGGAACAATATACATGCTATATTGCTTTGAATACAGCCAGTATCTTTTTTGTAACATCTAACAAAGGTTTTTAATTTTGAATACAAAAAGGTGCTTGACAGTAGTACATAAATATATAATAAGTACGTAAATACTTGAAATTAAGAATTATGGGTTCCTCCTCAATCCTGAACTTGGTGTGAAAATACCACAGATGACCGAGTTGCACATCTCTCTCTCTTCTTGATGTAGAGTCCACCTGTCCATCTCTGTTCCTAACATCAAGGACTTTCCGAATACTTTCGCCAGCTTAACTCTTCTTACCTCTTCCTTCTAAGATCCCAGAAGAATCTGAAGCATTTTTTAACCTTCCCAAGGAAGGTGAAGCTTTACAGACAATCTCCAGGGTTTTTTAAATTTATGTTTTTATTATTTTTTGCCACCTGTAGCTCATCTGGAGACCTTCTAGAAGCTGACAGGACTCTATTGTAGGTGGTTCTTCAACTTCTCTACTGCAACTTTCAGCCTGACTGAAGCTGACCTTCCAGCTTGGTTTGTGACCCCAGGCTGCCCACATTCCCTGCTAAACCTGCCTTAGGTTTCCCTCAGCCTTCCAGGCACAAGACAGCCAGACCTAAGGGGGAAAGATGACATTCTAAATGTTTTATGACTTAATAAACTACAAGAACTGAAACGGACAGTGTTATCAGACATGGTTACTGTTTAACAGGATTTTTAGAGCCTGGGCACAAAGAGGTAATAAAATGGTTCTCCTGGAGATTGTGGATGGAAGTAATTCCAATAAGACTAACCGAGGATGGCAAACTTCATCAATTCAGGGAGGGGACAGAAGAGACATCCCTGAGAATGAGAACATACTGGAAAAGAGGGACAAGAAAGCATCTAGAGAAACCAGGTTCTAGAAACTCCACTGAGCTGTTGTCTTCCAAGATCTCAGATGCTACTTTACATTAACGGTCACCAGGGGTTTTGCTGGGACCAAATTGTTATGTCTTTCCATTTCCCACAATTCCTAAGAGAGCTAAATACAGCCAGCCCAAGCAGAATCAGTATGCAACCATTCATTAAATTTGGGCTAGGAAATGTCATTATTATGATGGAATTCACTGCCAAATAACACACATCTGCAGAAAAAAAAAAGTCTTAAGAAATTTTAAAATAACATGAAGACTATCTGTATATTTACTTCTACTATGTTATCCAAATGTTTAATTTTAGCCATGTGACAATACATGGTAGCTTCTAAAGAGAAGAGCCGTAAACGGAAGGGAAAAGCGAACTGGCTGTTGGAAAGCATAGGGAGGTTATGTGACTCCAGAGCACTGAAGAACAAGGCTCCTCCACATTCTAGTTCGCTTCTTATTTGCAGCTGAGGCAGTGTTCTTTCTTATCTAATCTCACTTTGCCATAGAGTTCAGATGTTGTTTTCAGCTACCAGGCCCAGAAGGATGGAGAGACAAAGAATCCTTGTGCATGCTGAGTCAGCTCTGGTTTGCATATTGTATTTTGACGATGATTAATGAACAGGATCCTGTTTAAGTTTCACTGTGGAGCTACACACACCTGCTCTCCAATGTCACTCTGTGCCAGAATATCCAGAACCTTCAAAAACTTAATATCTACTAAGATAGCTCAACATTTTTAAATGTTTTAAAAAACAATCTTGGAAGATCCCTAATGTGACATCAAAAGAAGCACCTGTCAGCATGGGGTTTGTCCAAATAGCCTTTATTAGCAGGCTGTTGAAAATGGCCAGATTCTGAAAATTATTTTCTGCCATCTAGCTGCCTCTGAGTGACTTTCTAGAAGACACGATGATGCTACAGTCCACTTTGGCCCTCTGCATCTTGCTGATCACGGTTTCTTCCAACCTTGCCATTGCTATCAAAAAAGAAAAGAGACATCCTCAGACACTCTCAAGAGGTACTGTAATCTCACTGGAGTTTCTAAACTAAGTTATTTCAACTGTTCTCAAAATAGTTAGTATAGCCATCTATAGTCTGATTGTAAGCAAAACAAAAAAACAACAAAAAAAAACTAGACATTTGCTATGTGTGACTTTAAAATAGACATTTCTTAAGAGAGATCATCTATTTTAGACAGTAAATAACCAAATTTCAAAGAAATAATAGCCCTTGGGTTGGGGTGTTTGTTTTGTTTGTTTGCTTTGTTTTTGAAATAGGGTCTCATAGAACTTGTTATGTAGACCAGGCTGGCCTAAAACTCAGATCTGTCTGCCTCTGTCTCCCAAGCATTGGGATTACAGGTGTGCACCACTCTGCTGGCTCAATAAGAGCATGTTGATGCACCTGTTGTAGACATTATAAAGAATTGGCTTGATGTCCATAGCTTTGATTGACTTAGACGTTTGCCTTTCTCTTCAACTCCAGAAAATTCTATTTTTTTTTTATACTTACAGTTTTACTTTGGTCTAAGAAACAAACAAACCTTCATATCCAAAAGGATGATGAAGAGACAGTTCTCAAAATTGGTTTTTATATTTACAAGGAGCAGAAAAATGCTGAGAATTATTTGCCCCCACGCCGTTGATTCAAATAATCAGGATAGCCATGCAGTGCTTGTCCGCTCTTTAGAATGATGCTCTGAGCAGATGGCTTCCACGATGTTCATTTCTTCAGCTCTACTGAGTGCCAGCTGTGTGTCCATATTGTTTACCTAAGTGGATTAATTCAACTTTAGCCTGGCAATCACAATCTATATCTAGAAAGGCAATATACACTGCAAAATAAATAAAGGATGGAAACATTTCCCTGGATATAATTTATCACATAGCCCTCCAAACAAACTAATAGTTATAAAGTAAGTAGCTTAGTGACTATCAACAACCCAAGCCAAACTACTCACTGCTCTTCAAGCCCTTCTATAGTGGAGCTGGGTGGCATTGCTATAACTGTATGCCAATGTCTTCATTGGCATCCTGGGAGCCCATGTAGATATTGATCTAAACTCTGCAGCAAGGTTTTATTACATCTATCTATCTATCTATCTATCTATCTATCTATCTATTCATTCAAGTGTCAAGATCAGAAGACAACTTGATGAACTTGATGAACTAACTCTACTCTCTCTTTCCACCATTTGAGTCTAGGGATCAAACGCCAGTCATCGGTTTTGGCAATATGAGCTAAGTCATCTTGCTGGCCTGCTTTTTGACAAATTTTATGAAAATGAATTGGAATACATATGGATTACTTTAAGCAACTTGATTCTACTACTTCAGTTATTAAGATACTGTTTTAGTAGAGAAAATGACTACTAACACTGAGGGTCAGTGTGTTGAGAGCTGGTTTATATTTGTCGGCCCTTTGGCTATTTCTATGTTAGAAATGGCTCAGAGAATGAGGAGGAAAGGCAGGAGCAGGTGGAAGGGGCCTGAGTACAGTGTGCAGAGTGCAGCAGAGACAAGGCCAGACAGCTCAGGACAGAGACACAGACAGCTCAGGACAGAGACAGACAGACAGCTCAGGACAGAGACAGACAGACAGCTCAGGACAGAGACAGACAGACAGCTCAGGACAGAGATGAGTAGGGAGAAAACAGATTAATGAGGAAAGGAATAGCGTTAAAAAACACACTCATATGGAGACCAACATTTTCTAATGTCCTTTTAACAAAAGAACTGCCCAGGACCCAGTCAGTTATAGCTACAGTAGACTGGCATACAGCAGATGCTCAATAAATACACAACTGGTGAATGAACAAAATCACAGAAGACCAAAAACCATAACCAAACTAAAGACAAAAGTGCAGCCATGAATCCAGGCCTGGAAGAGAATTTAAATTCTGTCACATTTGGTCCATTGTGATTATGACCTAGACTGTATGGAAACAGTTATGATACAATATGTTCCCCTGAGGATTGTATCCATACCTTATGGATATTTGGGAGGGTTATATTGCTTTTTCTTTGTATTCCCAGGGACTAATGGATAAACAGAACAGAAGATTCATTAATCCATGGAACTAAATTGAGCAGGAAACGAGAACTGGGATGTTTCCATTGCTAAAGCTCTAGTATTTGAGTGACATTTACAGCAGATGAGAGGAGCTGGAGAGGTGGCTCAGCAGTTAAGAGCACTGGCTGCTCTTCAGAGGACCTGGGTTCAACTTTCAGCACCCACAGGGCAGTTCACAATCCTCTATAACACCAGTTCCAAGGAATCTAGCTCTGACCTCCATGAGCACCAGGCACACATGTGGTGTATACACACACATGCAAGCAAAACACCCATACACAAAAAATTTAAAAATATAAATAAATCTAAAACCCAAATACAAGCAAAGAAAGAAAAGTACTCAAGGGCTCTCCCATATTTCTAGAGAAAGTTAATGTGAAATGTACTAAAGCAACATCAGATTGTTTTTCAGGATCATTACGGAGAAGACTCCAGGTAGGGGGAGGTACCAAAACAACAATGATGTCTTCCAAGGTTGAGATATTAGATCTAGCACAAACAAATCTATTATTCTCTCATTACTGTAAAATGGCACAATCTTCGTAGAACAAACTAACAATTCCTCAGAAAGTTAAAACGTGCCAGGTGTGGTGGCACTCACATTTAATCACAGCACTCCCCATCAATAACTAATCTTAAAAAACGCCCTACAGCTGGATCTTACAGAAGCATCTTCTCAACTGAGGCTCTCCTTTCAGATGACTCTAGCTTGTGTCAAGTTGACGTAAGACCAGCCAGGGTAACTGACCCCTTGCCAACTTGACACTCAAAACATATCACTGTTAAGACATAAGCATTCTCTCCTTTTCATCCGCAAGATCACACATTATTATCAACATCACAACGAAAAGCTGTTACAAACTTTAAAAGTTTCACAGTCTTTACAAATTCAAACATTTTAAAATTCAGTCTCTTAAAAAAAATCTTGTCTCTTTTAAAACCTAAAAACCTCTTTTAAAATTCAGTCTCTCAACTGTGGGCTTCTGTAAAATAAAAAATAAATTAACTACTTTCTTACTTCAAGAGGAAAGAACCAGGGCACAATAACAATCAGAACAAAGCAAAAACAAACTTCAAAAGTATAGATAAATCAATGTCAATATCTGGGATCCACTCGAGATCTTCTGGGCTCCTCCAAAGGGCTTGGGGCACTTCTCCAGCTCCGCCCTCTGCAGCACACACAGCTTGTCTTCCAGGCTTCACCTGTTTCCACTCAATGGCTGAGGCTGTTCTTGGTGGTCATCCATGGTACTGGCATCTCCAAAATGCTGGGTCTTCTGCTGCAACTGGGCTGTGCTTTCACCAACAGCCTCTCATAGGCTCTCTTCATGGTGCCAAGCCTCTGCCTGGCCCTTTTCCACTTTTCAATCCTGGGTCTTCAACTGCCACTGAGGCTGCACCTTCACCCATGGCCTCTCCTGGCTTTTTACAGCGTCAAGCCTCCATGACCCCTTCATGCCTTCAAAACCAGTACCGCCTGAGTGACTCTTACACATTACCAAGTCCAGCTGCCAGCACAAGGTACAACTTTGGCTGCCTCTGGAACATAGCTGTAGTATACAGACTCTCAGGAAACACTTCCTAGAAGATTTCACCTCAGTGATGCTGGACTCGTCTTAATCACTGCTAATTTCTCAGCTCCAGTCAACCAGCATCAAGTATCCCAGCAAAGCAAAGGTTCCATTCCAGTAGTTCTGGTATCTTATTAATCAGCTGATTATTCAGCCTCAGCTAACCAGAACCACGGATTCTTCACACAGAAAGTACATCAGAGTCTTTGCTTCCCTCTGAAACTTCACAGGCCAGGCCTCCATTGTCTACACTGCTCTCAACATTCTCATCTCCAAGTTCCTACGGAACAGCTCACCGAGCTCCCAACACTCAGTGATTTTCTAGCACAATGTTCCAAAGTCCTTCCACAATCGTCCCCAAAACAACATGGTCAGGTTTGTCACAGCAATACCCCACTTCCGGTACTAACTTTCTTCACTGCCTAAGCTTGGCTCTGTAGGATGGGATAATATTAAGCTATAGAAAGGTCATGAAGTATTAAATACATATCAAAACATGAAGTTTGAAAACATGCTAAGAGAAATAATTCAATCACAAAGACCACATAGTGGATATTTCCACTTACATGAAATCCAGAATAGGCAAACTATAGGGGTAACCACCCGATTAGGGGTTTCTTAGAGCTCAGGAAAATCTAGAGAACAGAGGGTAGATACCTGCTAAAAAATGTTTAGTGTTTAGGACTGGCAAGACAGCTCAGCAGGAACAGGTGCTTCCTGCCCAGTCTGGTGACCTGAAATCAGTGCCCCAAGTCGTCCTCTGAGCTCCACATTAGGCGAAATCAGTCCCCCAAGTCGTCCTCTGAGCTCCACATTAGGCCCCACCCCCACATTCAGATGAATGGATAAATAAATATAGTTTTTTAAAAATAGAGTTTACTGGGGCTGGAGAGATGGCTCAGCAGTTAAGAGCACTGACTGCTCTTCCAGAGGTCCTGAGTTCAATTCCCAGGAACCATATGGTGGCTCACAACCATCTGTAATGTGATCTGGTGCCCTCTTTTGGCCTCAGGCAAACATGCTGTATACATAATAAATAAATAAATCTTTTAAAAAATAGAGTTTACTTTGTGGTGTTGAGAATGTTCTAAAATTGATTGTAGTGTTGGCCTCGTAACTCTGGGAATACACTACAAAGAATGTGCACTTTCTATGAGTGAGTTGAATCATATGTGAAAAATACCTCAATAAAGTTGTTACCAAAGAACAAATAAAGGAAACAAGAAGAAACACAGAGTCATGATTATCTTACTCCGTGATTCTGCCTTTGATAATGGCTATTACAGACCTGTGGTATCAAACGCCACAGTCTGGCATCTGAACACAGGACAACTCTAACCTAACTAGCCCCCCAAGTATTTCTTTCATGATAATTCGGTCTTTCTCTTCCATGTCTGGGGCATGTTTTAAACACACTGCAGTATTCCTGGATGCCCTGTACCTTCTACTTCTTGAGGGCTTTAGTCTTTCATCTCTAGCACTCTGGCACGGATTCACAGCTGCTTCCGTCTCTTTTCTAAGGCCAGTGGAGTCTCCCTGCTGCAGCCACCGCTTTCGATTTCCTTCTCTTCCACTCCTTGTGTGTTTCTAGAGTGTGTGTGTGTGTGTGTGTGTGTGTGTGTGTGTGTGCATGCATGTGCGTGTGTGTGCATGCATGTGTGTGTGCGCGTGTGCACGTGCGCATGTGTGTGTGTGTGTGTGTGTGTGTGTGTGTGTGTGTGTGTTCAAACATGAAATTCTCATCCTTGAATGGTTTTCAAATGAAAAGTCACAGTGGAACTTGGAACTCTTTCCCCTCAACATGCACTGTCCAGGAGCAGTCCCCATCCTTTGCTGTTCCAGATACAGGGGACACTTTGTAGCACAGTCCAAAGGACTCCTGGATTGTCTAGAAGTATGCTAAGATAACTGTTAGTTCGTGTACATTCTGAAAGCTGGAGCTTTTGCATGACCAGAGATGTCTTCTCAGCCACCCTCATCCATCATCCAGCACTGACCAGTACTTAGGAAGTTCAAGGCTGGGTTGAGCTTTCATGCATACTCCCAAGTCCCCTAAAGTACACCATGGTCACCATGTCTTCATATCTAGATATAATTACTGTCTTTTGCACTCTATGTCAGTCAACAGCTTTGGAGGCATCATAGGTCTGCAGACTGACATCTGCTCATTAGACAGAGACCTGTAGCCCTGGAATAATGCATTGGTTTCTCTCTTTCTTCAGGGTGGGGAGATGACATCACTTGGGTACAAACTTATGAAGAAGGACTCTTTCATGCTCACAAAAGGTAAAGTCCCTCTCAGTTACTGTTCACACGCCATTTCTCATGGAAGAGCCAGAAACAGCCATGTTAGCTTCTGAAGGAATGCCACAGTTCTTGCTCTGTTATTGCATGCCATGTGGAGTAATAGCTGCTACCACAGTAGTGTTTTAGCTACTCTCCTCATCTCTGTAATCAGACCCCTGACCAGAAGAGACATAAAGGAGGAAGGATTCATCCTGGGACAGGATTCAGGGATAGACTCCATCCCTGTGAGGAAGGCGTGGCAGCAGAGGCAGCAGGTCCCGTCACACCAGCAGTCAGGAGACAGAGAGTGGGGCCAGATGCAGGCCAGATGTAGTCTGTGAGGACTGCCCACCGGCACCCACTCTCGCCACCTTCTGAAGGTTCCACAACTTACAACCACGTAAAACAAACAAGCCTATAGGGAACATTCCATATTCAAACTGTAACAGACGGTATTCTTTAGATGTAAAAGCTCTAAATACCTCTATGAATGTATTACACAGGCAAACTTTTAAATGTAAGCTGTATAAATAAGACGGCATCTCACTAGGCACCACGCAGGCTTCCTAGGAAAGCAGTTTACAGGAACAGTCCTCCGGCCTGGTCAGCCAGACACCTTGTGGAGCTTCATTTCCCACACACAGTCATAGTTAATCAGCCAAGTACTAGTTGACCATCAGCTGCTATGTGTCAGGCACGGGCCCGAGCCCAATGACCAAGTGTGACATCATTTTTATCCTTAAAGATGCACTGAATCCCCTGTCAATATCTGATGAACATTCACTTCCCATTAAAGAGAGAATATGGGAAATTAAATTAAAATTTACTTAAATGCTCTCAAAACTGAATAACAATTACAGAAAAATCTCATTTCCAAATATGAGTGTAAGACACAACATATGACAAATTATAGCCTCAGAACATGTAGAGAATCTGCCCAGATAGGGTAAGATTTCATCTGGAAATTCTTTTTTTTTTTTTTTTTTTTGGTTTTTCGAGACAGGGTTTCTCTGTGTAGTTTTGGTGCCTTTCCTGGAACTCACTTGGTAGACCAGGCTGACCTCGAACTCACAGAGATCCGCCTGCCTCTGCCTCCCGAGTGCTGGGATTAAAGGCGTGGGCCGCCGCCGCCGCCACCACCACCACCCGGCTCATCTGGAAATTCTAGGACCATTAAAGACTGAGAATTCAGGTGCAGCATGCACCATACACACATACCACACACAACACTCATGTGCAGCACCATACACACAGATCTGTGTGTCAAATGGGTCAAAAAGAATATTAAGAGGGAAGTTTTTTTTAATATTTTGAGGCAAATCAAAGTGGAAAGTCAATAAACTAAAACTTATGCAGTGTATTATAAACGGTTCAAGTGGAAATTTTCTGAATAAATATCTTTATCTTTTTTATTTGAAAAAAAGAAAGTTTCAAATAATCCAATATTGTGCCTTTAAAACACCCTTCATACCCCCAAAAGAAAAAAAAATAAGGTCAAAATTAGTATTAGGAAGGACAAAATAAAAACCAGAGCAAACATAGGCAAAAAAAGTAAGAAAGAAAGCAATGGGCAGGGCACACAATAAAAGCTGCTCTTTTTCCTTTCTGGAAGAGAGAAAACCAGCATAGCAGTAAACATGCCAGCAAAGAAAAAGAAAGAATTCCAATAAAATCCGAATGAAAGGGAGAAATGGCAGATGGTACCACCGGGGTGTAGAGATGGTCGGGCACTTACCGCTTTCCAGAAGACCTGAGTTCAATTCCCAGCACCGTGTGCCTGTAACTCCAGCTCCATGGGATCTAGCACTTCTTGTGGCTTCCCTAGGTACCTGCACGCACACACGCACACACACACAAAAGTAAAAATAAACAAAACGCAACCAAACAAATTGATAACACAGAAATAGTCATCAGAGACTATTTTGAACAACTATTAAGTCAATAAATTAAATATTCTAGCAGAAACATACTTCCCATGTACATAAAACCATCAAGATTTAATTATGAATAGAAACAAGGCAGTGAAGAAATTTTATTCATGATTTTAAAAGTTCTTCCATCAAAGTAAAGCCCAGTATCTTTGTTTGGTTTTGAAACAGCATCTTATGCCTCCCAGCTGGCCTCAAACTGTGCTCCTGCCTAAGCACCCCATAGACTGGTGTCACAGCTGTGTGCTAACGCTCCCTGCTGCCTACTAAACTATGAAACAACTAATACTAACCCTCCTCAAATTTATCAGAAAAAAAATGGAAAGAAAATTATATATTCAAATTTTGTTAATGAGACTAGAATTACCCTGGTTAAAAAAAAGTCAGGAGAGAGAAAAAAAACTATAGATCATACCCCTTTGGTGGTCTGAATAAGAATGCCCCCACAGGCTCACACGGAGTGGCACTATTTGAAAGGATTAGGACATGTGACCTTGTTGAAGGAAGTATGTCACTGGCAGTGGGATTTGAGGTTTTAAATGCTCAAGCCAAACTCAGAGTCTCTCTTTCTTCTGCCTGTAGATTCAGATGTAGAACTCTCAGCTACCTCTCCAGAACCATGTCTGTCTGAATGTCACCATACTTCCCACCATGATAATAATGAACTAAACCCCTGAATCTGTAAGACTGTCCCATTTAAATGCTTTATTTTAAAAGAGTTGCCATGGTTATGGTGCCTCTTCACAGCAATAAAACATTGACAGAGATACACTTGATGAATACAAATGGAAAAATCCTTAACAACACCCTAGCAAATAGAATCCAACAGCATATTAAAAACACCATTAGCCATGGTTGAATAAGACTTAACCCTAGAACATAGGATCAATCAATATGCGCTAACAAGCATGGTGCCTGGACTGGCAGAATGAAGAACCATAGCATCTCTCAATAGATACTGATGAGCATCTGACAGAACTTAACATCCACACACAGCAAACTAGCTCTAGAAGGGCCATCTCTCAGCACAAGAATCATATGACCTTGGGTCACATGCCCAGTGGAGAGCAGTTGAAAGTTTTCTGGAGAAAAGGACAGGAGATCCCACTCCTCCTTCTCTTCCACACGGTATGATGATCTCTGGATGAACTGAACAATCTAACTAAGCAAGACAAAAATGTAGAAGGCATCCAAATGAGAGAGTATAAATGAAATCATTCCCATGTGCACAGGAAATGATCGTGTACACAGAAAACCCCAAGGGCTGTTAGAGCTAATAAAAGATTTCAGGTATTATAGTCACAGTGATGAGAAAGTAAGTAAACACAGAAACCGATATTCCTGATTATATGGCTTTTCTGCACAGCCCAAAGCCATATGCGAAGGGAGAGGCCAGGAACTGAGGATGGGGAAGGGAGGCAGCATTCACAAGAGTGAATTTCTCTAACTCCAAGGCTTCTTTAGAATTAAAAAAGAAATCTCAAGTCAACACAAACAAATGAGTGAAGAAAGTAATAGTTCAGAACAAATAATACACAACTGGAATACATGAGAAGAACTATTTTGTAGGAAGGCAAAATGGCAATCATCTCTTTTCTTTTTGCTTATTGGGTAAAGTAATTTAAAACTGCTGACCAATTTTACCAGAGGTCCAGCTTCTGTGGAGAATCAACCAACAGTGTGAATGCACAAACTCTGAATCTGCTTCTGGAATCTATTCACAAACATGCACACACACATGCAAAATCATACACAAATAACAAGTGAATGTTTATCAAATAAATGTTTATTCAAACATAAGTGGGAGATTGGACGTGATTTTTTTTGTTTGTTTGTTTTGTTTTTTGTTTTTTT